CTTTGGGCAGGCGGGTGCCCAAGCAACAGATAATTGTGCTTTGTTTCTAATAAATCCCTCGTTTTTAACCATCTTTGATTATCCATATGCATTAAATTGAGTTAAGGAATAGAGAAAATATGTAGCAAATATGAAGTTTAAGCTGGTGTGGCTTTATGTTTAATCACAGTCTCCTTAATCTTTATGGTGTTGGCTCGACCTTGTTTTCGCAACTTGGTCGGAGCGTCAGGGAGACCTTGTAAAACGTATCTAGTCCCGTATCCTCTGCCAGAGAATTCGTGATTTTCAGAATCGCACTATTGGCTAGGAACATTCTAAAACGTTTTGTTGGCAGCTTAGTCGACATTCTGACGGTTGAACATAAACTGGTCAAGGCGATTGCCTTCCCTTGTCACTTTGATTGGTTGTAATTCTGTGCCTACGATGGCGCTTCTCACTAAAGATGCCCGGAAACGTTTGGAAATGTACCCAATCAACAGTCGAATGGTGGAAATCAAGAATACTATGGCAGAGGGCACGGGACAACGTCCCCCTGACGCCTCAACTAAGTTGCGAAAGCACGGTTGAATCAACAGTGTATAAAATAATTCAATATCTTAAAATTGTTATTAGGTTTGTTCAAAGTGTTGGAACCAATTATATGACGCTATAGAATATAATAGCTGAGGATAAAAGGATTTTGAATACTCTGGCATATTAACGGGAAGAATTAGTCGTTCTCCCCGTGGACTACCTATATATCACATTTGTTTAATACGATAAATTGATTATGCTACTTATATTAGATGTTAGTAGTATTATATATATAATTTTGAATCGTAAATTTTTCCACAATAATATGAGAGTTTCTCGCTATTTTCTATTTATACTTTTATTTTATTATTAATTTTAGTATTACAATTGCTACATTATTACTATTTATTTATTGTACCCACTATCGTTTTGCAGAAAGCTGATTCAATTTTGCATTTTGAGGACTCATTAATTGCTTAATTAAACTGTATCTCCACTTTTCAGGTGGCTCAAATGTGGGGTCTAAAAAAGAATCGTCCCGCCATGAACTACGACAAGTTGAGCCGCTCTCTGCGTTACTACTACGACAAAGGAATAATGCAAAAGGTCCTTGGAGAACGGTACGTCTATCGGTTTCTTTGCGACCCCAGAGCCTATCTTCGGCTGACAGAAGCGGCCGGCTTGAAGCCCCCGTTTCGAGGCCGGCGACATGCCGAGCTCGTCACATGTTCGGCCAAGCGGAGGCTGAAAGAGAGGCGACGTCTGCCCAGTCCCGTAGCATCGGTTGTCGCCTCGCGATTGTCGGTCCACGCGAGCGCAGTCGCTGGTGCGAGAGGGCTCGAGTCCCGGCAGACGCGTGAATTGAGCGTAGAGTCTGCAAAAGCAGGTACCAACTACGCAATTCTGGCAGAGGCTGTTCTCACCTCCTCTCGCGTCCGGCCTCGTGTCGGCTCAGTTTCTGCCTCTTTCAGGCAGCCGGAAGAAGAGATTGGCCCCCACCGGGACAAGATGTCACCGTCTCTGAGTTGTGCTGGTGTGATTGGTCGGAATGCCCACTTGCCTGGCAACTACGCAGAAGACGGCTCCAATCATGTGCCGCACAGACGTGAGGCAGAAGCGTCTTTCCTGTCTACAAGCGGCTTCTGGTCGGCCGGAAGTTGTGAGACAGCCGGCGAAACGGTGAACGACAGAACTGAGGCACCGGGAGAGAAAGCTTTCTGCTCGTCTACAGGCGACATCGAGTCTGGCACTCGTCTCTATCCGCCCGGCCTCGTCTACCCACACACGTCGGCCTACACCCACCTACAGGCCCCGCTACTTGGGTCCACGAATCCGTGCTACCAGCCTGACAACCAGAATCACATCGACTGGAGCGGCTGCTGCTGCTGCTGCTGCTACTATTGCTGTCGTTACCGCAGCTCGTCTCCCCATCTCGATCAGCTCTGCTCAGACCACTCGGCTCCGGCGGACGCCAACTCTTCGGGCTGCACTTTGTTGACTTGTGAAGAAGAAGAAGAAGAAG